TGACAATGAAAAACTACCAAGAGTCTCACAAGTTTCTAACAACAATAAATGTATCTGTTTGGCCTTTATTTCTGCAAGGTACATTATTTATGCTTACCCTAAGTAACTCCATTGATTTAAATGTCTGCAGGTACTTGTTACATTACTAAAACACTTGTTACATTACTACACTTGTTAGATAGCTTCAGAGAGGAGCAGAAGTTTGTGCAGATAATCGTTTGCCACATTAATTAATTTTAAGAATTTGAAAACCATTTTCATTGAAATACACTGACTGACTGCTCCAAGGATCACTAGGAGCAGCAGAGTGTGAAGTAACATGGGTAAACTTAAATCTCATTCAGCAGTGGGTTTGCTTCCAAGAGCAGACAATTACAGTCACGGTCAAATATGATGCAAGAGCAAAGGAGGAAGCAAGATTTAGCTGAAGCAACAATCAGTTCTTTACATACATTAACTAGACAGGTTGCAATAGCTTGATTATAATCTCAAACCATCTCTCCTGTCTGGAAATTTCTACCACCATGGGATGCTGCCTATCATGTTTATGCTCTTGTGGAGATTCCCTGGCAAGTGCCACTGTCACAGCAAGACAGATAATGAATGGTGTTAGTGATAATGAACCAAATCTAAAATTTTTGGTTTGCTTCATATCAATGTTTTTTTAGGCTCAGAGCTTGCAAAGTCATTCAAACAACAGGGAGGATTAGCTGAGTGCATTGTTTGGAAACAACTTCCAAACCTTTAGTGTGGGTAGTGTAATTTTTTAGTTCCAAACCTTTAGTAGTGTACGCGAAGTAGTGTCTTCACATACACTGCTTCAAATACTATGTTGCAAGGTCCAGGTTCTTTCATGCCTGGGGGCCTGCTTTGACAGGTGTCTCAAACTAAAGAACAGAACATCCAGTCTATAAATCAGGTGGTTCCTTATTTACACAGACCTTCCTGCGCCTTTGTTTCCTCCAGTTAGGGTTTCAGCCATACCTTACTTCTTAAGATCAGGTTTACCAAGCTCTTGACCAAAAGTAGTAGCTGGTACTTGGTACATTTCTAAATACATCTCAGTATCTTCTGGTATATGGACAAGGACAGTAAAAGGGCACTCTTCAAATTATACCCAAAACCTGAACAGCTACACAATTCCCAGCTTACAGGAGATCCTCAGGACAGATCAGGAAAAAAAGGAAAATTCTGTTTTGTGATGAATTTTTTCTGATACTCTTTCAAGCTCTACTGCAAGTAGTTCTACTGCAAGTACATGGTGTTCTCTGCAGCAGCCCTGGCCTACTGCCCCCATCTGACTGGGCAAGAAAAGCACTAGGAACCACCCAAGGCACTGCTGGGACCACACATTGTCAATACATGGAAATGTCACACTGACACAGATTCAGGAAAGTGGCAGACACTGAACTTGAGGACCAATCTGAAAGACAAAAAACCCTTTAGTATATCTGCTGCAGGGGAGAGGCTGACAGAAGGAATAATGTCTTCCTACTAGGGCAAGAAAAGAAGCTCATGAGCAACTAGGCTGTCCCTTCTGACCTCAACCATTCTGTTATTCCCAGCACATCTTGCAAAGGCTTTAGAAAGAAGTAAACTACAGAAGATGCTTCCTGCAGCCCTGTTCTAAGACAATGAGCAAAGGAGGAGCCAACTAGGTTCAAGCAAGAGGATCTGCCATGCTAGACTGCATCTTGTCAGCTATGTTTTGAGCAGTCCTGAAAAAGAAAGAAATACTGGAGGGGAGAGGAGGACAGATGATTCTGTATTTCTAAAGAAGTTTGGTGTGTAGTGGACAAACTTTCATGACCTGCACACAAATCTGCATATTCAGTGGTGTTAAAGGAATTGAAGTGTGTGTGTTTAAATATCTTGGGGGCTTGGGAAGGAATCATTGTTTGCTCTAAGAAAACCATCACATATAGAGAAATAGTGCTGTTCTTCACCTCTCAGTGTGCTAAAAGCAGGAATTCTGCATGCACTAGCTGTAGAAAGACTTTGGTATGAGCTTTAAGATAAGTTTTCAGAGTACATTACAAGTTTGTATAAAGTCACATGTTGCATTACTTACCCCCAGCAAGCTCCTCCAGACTCGGGACATGAAAAGCAAACCTTTCGACTTTGGCCATTTCCTGATGGGCACTGATTTCTTCAGGTAACAAGTTACAGTACAGCACACTGCAGATTGACTGGTCTGCCAACAAAGATAATGGCTTAACCATTTAAACATGCTCCTTTCAACATGTTAATTATTTTTCAATTTCATTCTAGAATACATAGAAAAAATGGAACTGTAGTTCTGGCATCACAGGAGAGACTGACAGCTTCAATAGTAATGTTGAATTTCTTATGCATTTTGGAAGAAGAAGTGTCTGTCAGCCTTATAGCTGGCTCAGAGCATTACACATATTACACATACCCAGCTGACAGCTGGGTGTAGGGAAAACATATCCTACACTGAATGCAGATGAAGTGATCAGGAGATTTGTGTCTTTGTAAGCCTGGAGTCACAAGAAAGTTTTGAAAGGAACCTCAGCTTTTCTGAGCACATCAGCTGCCTCCTAAGGTCTTCCCAAATTTAATGTTTACTTTTCCAGCAATGGTGGACTTTCAACCCGAGCTGTGACATGGTCTCAAATTAATTTCTGGGCATGTGTTTCCCCTCCCAGAGAGGAACAGGCTAGCAGCAAAATAAAAATCAACTACAGAAGTTCTGCAGTATCAGGCTCTGTACCCATACAAAAAGTATGTAAAAATAAGTATGTACTGTAGCAAAAAGTTTTGAACATGAGTTTAAGAGCCTCTTCAGAAATGAAGTGTACTTCAGTCAGCCATGCAACAGCAAAGCCAGCTAGAAGGGCAAGGCACTGGGTCAGGGCAGAAACAACTGATTGTGCACTACCTAAAAATCAGCTGCAGCAATCATTAACTCCTTAGGCACATACTTGCTACACACAGCAATAAAAAATAAAATGTGTCCCATTTACCCAGATCTCAGGTGGAAGAAGGAAAAAGGGAAATCCTAACTACATTCCTAGACCTGACTGAGTCTTTGTTAGGAAGGACTATGGTGTGAAACAGCTGCTTATGTATAGTTCTAGCTTCAGTTTTTAAAAAATCCTAACTTTTATGACTGTCAAAAAATGTAACTGTCCTTACACAATTAGCCTCTTGAGTCTGCATAAAAGAAAAAGGAAAACCAAACCAGTGGAAAAAAAAAGAAATAAGAAGAGTGGGGAGATCGTAGCAGTCACTTAACTGAAATCTTTCAGCTCAATGCTCAGCCACCCCAAATTACTGCTGTAGCAAGCAGTAGAGAAGAGAAGAAAGACTGCAACCCGTGTATAGTAATTCTCATCTTAGTTGGTTTTATCTATCTCCACACTTGACTTCATCCCTCTTCTGGCTCTGGAGGAGAAAGCAGCAGGCTGGATTTGGTGCCTCTGGTAGAAGCCTCATGTCAGGTAGAGTGAATCATACCACAAGACTTTTAGTGTGCACCAAGAAAGGGAGTAATTAGCCATAGGCAGAAAGTGAGAACATGGCTTTGGGAGCATTGTTTTAGATTATCCTCATCCCCTCAAGAACCTTTTGCCACATCCAGGAGGAGGCTGTGCCAGCACTCAACACATTGGTTGTCCTGAAACAGTCTGAGAAAACAAGCTAGAACTGTTGTTGTGCAAAAGGCAGAGGCAAGACTTGTACAGTATTCAAAAAAGTTAGCTCCCCACAATCAAGAAAGGGGGGAAAGACTGTGGAAAAATCTGATGTACCATAATAAACCCAGTCTGATTGGTAGACAGTAGTTCTTACCAGGAAAGACACAAAGGAGTAGATCTGTGGCCCACCACTGCAAATATTCACCGGGGAGTGAATTGTGTGGTGTGGGACAGAGAGAACTTGAGACAAGAGCACACACTTAAGATCCATCACAGAGGGGTGCAGTGACACTGAATTGCTACAGAAGAATTTCAAAGAAAGAACACAAATGCTAAAGGGATGATAAAATTATTATAGATGTGGGATGATGCAACTAGAATGGAGGCAACAAGTACGTAAAGACTCAAAAGTCTACTTTTGAAGTGCAAAGAAAACATCAGAGAGAGTAGCCAGGTGCCAGGAGAAGGCAGATGAAACGTGAAACATTAGATTAATTACGTGTCTATCATCAAAACCGGAATTAAAATTAGCTTGGAGAGTTACAGCCAAAAAGGAGAGGTTATAGGCAGGCTAGACACGCGTCGGAGAGGGGGGTGGTGGGGAAAGAAATATCCGTGGAAAAAATTGAAGATGGCAGTTGTGAGAGAGAAATTTAGTGATGACACGCAGAAGAGGAAGACATCCACAGACGCAGAGGCCGTATTTTTCGCCTGGGGCGGTGCGAGGAGATCCCGTACGGGGCAGAGGAAGGCTGCGGGGCAGCAGAGGCAACTGAGCAGCTGGGATTTTGGGAAGGGACGGGTCACGGCAGGGTAATAACAGGAGTGCTAGGCGAGGCTGGGCTCCGTGGGACAGAGAGCATCCCGGCAGGCAGAGGCAGCGGTGATTACGGGAGCGGGAGAGCGCTAAAGGCAGCGGCACGCTTGGCATAGCGGCAGGGGGAAGGAAGGGGCTGTTCAGGCTGGAGCTGCCAGTTCAGAGGAGTCGGGGGAAGGACAAGCAGCACAGCAGAGACGGGAGCCTCTCGCCGGGCGGGAAGCCGCGGGAAGCCGAGACCTGCCGGAGCTCTGCCACGCACCGAGCGCCGCTACCGCCCGACCGCACCTACCTACCCTGCCGCCGGGACTAGGACTGGCACGGCACGGCACGGCACGGCAAGGCTCGGCCCCGCCCCTGGGCGCGGCCACCCCGCTGCCACTCCCAGCATGGCGCCATCCTCCTCCTGCCCCTCCTTCCCGTCGGCCCGCGCGCCTCTCGCGAGCTTCCCGGCACTATTTAATGCGCGGGGCGGGGATTGCGCGTCCTTTGCGGCGGGGCAGCGGCGGGCGGAGGTGGGTTGGTCTGTGCGGGCGGATCCGCCGCCATCCGCGCTGCTGGGGCCCGGGACCGCGGAAGCCGGGGCTGGAGGGACAGTCCGGGCGGTGTGGAGTCGTGCCCCGAGGACCGGGGTGTGTGGGGGTGGTCGCTGGGGGGGGCCCCGTGGGAGCGGTGTTCCCGGCCTGTGGTGCGTTAGTGCCTGCCCGCGTTCGAAAGGCCTTCCCGTGGCGCCGGCCCCGGCGCGCTGCTGGCAGCCGAGCCCGGCGAGGGGTGCGCCGGGTGCCTTTGTTAGGCCTTCAGCAAATTTATATGGTTGCTTTTCTTTCCTAAGGGATCTGCGTGCTGTGCTAGCGCTGCAGGCCGGAGCTGCGGTAGGAACCTTGAAGGATGCTGAGCTGCGACTTGTGAGTACCCGGCAGGGCCTGTGCGCTCAGACGGGCATTGCTGCCGCAGTCCTGGCTCTGGCGTTGGTTGGTTTCGTTTCTGGGCTTCGTGTTTGTCAGGCCGTGGGTGAGCCAGCGTGAGCAATGTGCTTTCAAAGGCATAGCAAAGCTGGCACGAGCGTCTTTCTTGTGGTGAGGGGCCCAAAATGAAACACGGGGTTTGAGGTGAGACCTCACCACTGCTTAGTACAGGGGGACAATCCCTGCCCTTGTCCTGCTGTCCCTGCAGGCCAGGATCCCATTGGCCTTGGCCACCTAGGCACACCCTGGACCATACTGGGCTACAGTTGACCAGCACCCCCAGGGCCTTTTCTGCTGTGACCCAAGTGCAAGACCCAGCACTTTGCCTTGTCAAACCTCACTCACTTGGCTTCAATCAAATTCATCTTGTGTAGACACCTCTGCAGAGCCTTCCTGCTCTCCAGCAGATCATTCCCACCCAGCTTGGTGTCACCTGCCAGCTGAATGAGGGTGCACTTAATCCCCTTTTTGAGGTCGTTTGTGGACATGACTGGTCTGGCCCCAGCGCTGATCCCTTAAGACGAGCTACTAGCTGGATACAACTCCATTCAGCACCACTTTCAGGGCCCAGCCATCCATCCAGTTTTTCATGCAATGAACAGTGCACCCATCCAAACCATGACCAGCTAGTTCCTCCAGGAGAATGCTGTGATAAATGCTGTCCCAAAGCTTTACTAAAATGCAGGCAGACAACATCCACAGCCTTTGCTTCATACACTGGTCAGAGAAGGAGATCAGGTGGGTTAGTTGGGACCTGCCTTTCCTAAATTCTGACTGCATCTAATCCTTTGCTTGATGTGCATGTGCCCTCAGGATCATGTGCTGCAGGTTATGTGAGGACATTGGATAAACTCTGCTCTAGTGTCTTCAGATGCTGAACTGTGTAATAACATTTAAAATATTAATGGATATTATGATGAGTTTGTAAAACTCTAAAAAGCACAGTAAAATTAGAAAGATGCAGGTTTACTGGGCTAGTAAATGACTAATAGGTAAAATAACTTTGGGCTCATACAGAGGAAAACTAGATTCCTTTGCTGCGTGTTACAGTCCCTTTTGTATAGACTTGGGCCACTAAAGAACTGGACTGTGTTGTCTTGCAGATTCAAGTGAAAATAACATTTTAGTTCTGGGGCTCGACTCTGATTATTTACAGCCAAATAAGTGGGTGATGAATTAAGAGCAGGAGATTTTAGGTATCTTAGAGCTCACAAAAGAACAGAAGGGAAATGGCATTGCTTGTCTTGATGACACTATCTTTGATTAATTTAAAGGTTTTAAATAACAGTGAAGTGAATATTTATGTATGACATGAAACTGCAATATCCTTACAAGTATAAGAAGTCATTGGCTATGTGTATGTGTGCTTGTTTGGAGGCAAACTTAACTAGTACAGACAGGGTTAAAACATTCAGAATTCGTCTCAGTAAGTCTGAACAATCTGTTGCACCACTGATGTTTGCGTTCCTCTGGGCAAGAGCTGAGCTAAAAAGACTCAAAAATTGTCTGACCTTAGTTATGCTGTGAATATCTTAAGCTTAGTGGCTATGACTAATGTCAGTATGAAGAATGTAACTGGTCATGGTTCATAGGAAAATCTCTGCTCAAGTTTCCTCAGGATTGTTCTTAAGTTTACCCTGTGATCAGGAGTGGAGTAATAGAAAGTTTGTTGCCTGATTAATGTACATTTTTTTTTAGTTTCTTGAATTCTTATTGCCTTTTAGGGCAAGCTGAAACATGACTGATACAGATGAGACCCAGGCTTCTGGCTCTGATTACCCTGATGCCCAGGAGCTGATCAGCCATCAGGAGGAGGAGCCATCTGAGGTGTGCTCATGGCAAAGGAGTACAGGAGCAGAGCGGTCAAGGCAGAAGATGGCTGCTCCTGGGAAGTCTGCAGATCATCCCAACAGCATGTGTAAATCATCAGCTGCCTCAACTGAGGTTTTACTGATCAGCAGTGATTCAGAAAGGTAAGCTTCTGTCTCTAGTCTGGAATTTTTTCTGTGGAGAGCCTGTGTAATTTTTCATAAAAGTGAACCTTATTTTGAAAGTAAATACTTTTTTCTTCTTCAGTGACGTCTCTGCTGCTCGTCCTGAGTGCTCCATCGCACCTTCAAAGCAGAAAAGGCGATCTCAATCTTCAAGGCAACAAGCTGAATCTGGTACAGAAGTACCTGACAATGAAAGCTCCTCAGACTCTTCACTGTCTCCCCAAAGTCCAGGGAAATCATTGGCTGTTCCCAAGCAGCAGAAGTCAAAACTCAATTTGAAGGCCATTTTTGCCTATCACTTCAGGGGAAGGAAGTTCAAAGCCGCCGCACACCGAAAATACAGAATACAGGCACGGAAGAGCAAGAAGAAAAAGTATGAGAGCACACACATGCCCACAGGGAGGCCCCCACTGACAGCCTCACCTCAGGAACAAAAGAGAAGGCTTCTAGACAGAGGTTTTCAGTTCCCTTTTGTTGAAAAACATTATGGGGAGAAACATATTCCCTTAAAAATGGTTCTTGGCTATGAGGTAAGTCCTCTGTTATGTAGGATAAATATTTCCTTAGTCTAAAAATTGTGAATTGAAATGGGGTCTGTTGTGCTTCTACTAGAATTAAACAATGAAACAGATTTTACTTCTATTAAACAGGATACTTGATGTTGTAAAATTATTACCTTTTAAAGCAAACAATGCAAGAATATATATGGGTGTTGATAGAATGTTACATTATCAGTTCACAATGTAAGTGCTTTATAGTGGTACTTTTAAGATCTTACCTGAGTATTTTTTTCTACAGCAAGCAGCTGCAAAGGGATATTTCAAGTACATTGAAGTGCTTAAATATGAAGAACATCTTAAAAAAGCTTTAAAAGCCCTTCAGGCCAGTGATGACTTAGAAAAAGAGTGTATGGTGTTACGGAAGCACAAATACTTAGATGATGAAGGCCCCATTTCCCCTATTGAGGAGACAGAGTAAGTTCATCTTTGCTTGCTTTTTTGTGCTTTACTAACATATAAATGTGTGTGTATCAAGTTCAGTTGTTCTCCTGTCCTTTTAACCTATGAAAGCATTGTTTATTTTGGGAACAAAGTGCTCTATCTTTTGGGGTATTCTGTGTAGATGGTAATATAAAAGTTCTCACAGGAAGAATTTTTTTTAATTTGATCTGAAGACTGATAATTGTTGGTAGAAATTAAAGTATTTGCTTAAATGCACTCCTCTAATGTTATCCCAAATAAAATGCAGTGTTCTAAAACAAATACTAAAGGATAATTTTAATACCTTTTTACATAATTAAAAACCAGAGTGTTATCTTTGGTCTTCAGGGTTGAGCAATTAGCTTAGTGCAATAAAAAGATTGTAAAGTAAAGAATACTTGCTGTTGTAAATACACTGATAACCTTTAGGAAGCCAGAAAGACAGTGTTAAAGGTACAATGCTGTCTTTCAGCTACTGTTCACTTAAGGGCTTGTAGTTAACACATTTTAAGGTTTTATAAAAGTAAACAGTTTAAACTATTTTTTTTTCAGTGATGATGAGGACAGCTTGAATTCTGATACTCAGGAACAACTTGATGCCAGAGTAGTGGTAAGTAAGCACTCCTTAACTTCAGAAATGCTCTAGACTTCCTGTTTTGAAGTTAAAGAATTAGTAGATAATATCTTCAGTATTTAATTCTTGAGCTTAGATCCGGAGTTGTGTGACCTCTGAATTCTGATGTTAGTGCAGAAGGAGGTTTGTAGTCCACACTTCTCTTCAATGTAATGCTGCAATTATAGGAATTCTGCAGTTCTCTCTAGAGTTCTTAACATCCAGAAATGTAGTACTAAAATCTTACATAAGTATCTCAAAACTAGACTTGTTTCTACTTCTGTCTTCCATTTTCTTAGGAGAACAGCTCTTTTATTCTAAGCAGCACAATTCCCAAAAAAAAGAAGTTAAAGCCACGAAGAAAACATGCCGAAACACCTGAAGTGATTGAAATAGTGGATGAATAAGAGGGTGCTGAAGAGAACTCTGTGCCTCTGCAAGGCTCACCTTGGTGAACAGCAAATGCACCAATGAGGTGGCAGCGGTCGTTCCTCAGATACCTTTTCATGGGCCTGTTTGGTTTAAAACATTGGTCTGGAATCAGTGTTCAGGTCTCCACTCAGCTGCCCAGGCACATTTGCCTTACTGTGAGTATATTGGGCTTGTGTCTGAGACAGTTACAAAAATAGAATAACTTGTCCTCATGCTTAGCTTTCAAGGGTCTACTGTGCTGTTCTCTATGTGTATATAGAAAAGCATGTATACATTGGTATGCTCAAGTTAAAAGGGCAGTTTAGATGCCTTTCTTTCATAGCAGATTTCTTTGTGAGTGGTCCTTGAGAGATTGTTTTTCTGTCTTAGAGGTGAAGGCTTGAAATACTTTAGAAGTTAAAGGGTTGAAGAAAGAATTAAAGATTAATGCAAGCCAATCATGAAAATGCAGAAGTGGTTGGTCGATTTTGACAAAAGTCTATTAAAAAATGTGGTTAATGTATTTGAATGATACTCAAATCCAATTTTGTATGATTGAGACTGTCTATTCCATATGGAATAAACTCTCAGAAAACAAATTCTCTGCTCCTTAATCTCATACAATAATCTGAAGTTGCATGTTATTGTAAAAATAACTGTGGCAATATAGTGAATCTTGGGTTAAAAATTACTTTTTCCCTCTTTCCCCCCTCTGTCCAGAATGGTTTCTGATGTGAACATGACTTAGCAGAAGCTAAAAGCTCTTTATTAATAGTACTTGCCAGGCATTGCCCCAGCTGCAAATACCTTTCTCAAAGCTGTTTTAGTCAGTAGGAAACATGGCTAGTGTTTAGAAGTGGTCTAAATATCACTGCGACCTCCTCCAGCAGTTTTGGTAGCTGAAGTAATGAATGTTTAAAATGTTCACTTGTGAATAAGGAAGATTAAAAAAGGAGTCACCTCACAGCCTTACTCAGGAACTCTTGTCAGCAGCTGACAGCTGCTCAGCAGGTAAAAGTAATCTGTGCTGAAGAAGCAAAAAAGGCTTTGTCTGCTATTAAATTTCCTTCAGATGAAACTGACAGTCTCAGGAGGTTTGCAGTAGATGCTCAATATTGAGAGCAAGTCAAGCTGTGTTATTTACATGCTTGAATTAAGGTCCCAGATCTCTCTAAGGAAGTTTCTCAAATGCAGCTTGATAGCTTTAGGTCTGCAGAAATTACCCTTCAGCATTTAAAGATCACAACTAAAAGTGGTCCAGAATTAATGGCTAAATGTAAGTCTTTGGGTGTCTCCCTGAGAAATTCTTAAAGGCTTCAAAGACTCATCCTGGATCTAGGAGAGGGGTTCTTGGTAGGGCATAGTGAGAGGTATGTGGAGTCCTGTTCATTCTGCAGTTAATGTGATTAATTTAGCTGTTCAACTGTTGAGTGACTCAGAAATGAACTAAATTTCAATTCTGATTAGAACTGGATAAATTTATACATAAAAATCAAGCTTATCACAGCTGCTAAATTGATTGTTAAAATCAAGCTTTGATTTAAGTAACTTTCAGTTATTTGACTGTATATGACAGTTTTTATCACTTTGCTTTTCTTTCTCTTGTAGTTTGTTGTTTTGGAAGATGAAATACCTCTTGGTTTTCTTGCTGCATAAGGTAAGATGTTGCTTGGGTCTCAGTTTTGTTTCCTTCAGGTAGCTTTTTTTGCATTATTTCACAAAAGGTTTTGAAAAGGCAGTGCTCCATAGTTAAAATAAAAACATTACAGTGCTCCACAGCTGAGCAGCTTGTGAATGTGAAAATTCCCCGGTATGAGTTCAGTCTTTCATCAGTCTGACCAAAATAAAAGCCTGTAGCCTCTCTTTAAACAAAAACTTGAGTTTTTGAATACTTGAAAGTGCAGTTTTTTAAAAAAACAAAAGCTTTACTTTCAGTCAAATGCTGCAGCTTTGTCTGATTTGGTTTAGACAACACTGCCTGGAATTTTCTCTGCTGAAGATGTTGAGGAACTACTTTCCCCTCAGTGTCTTTGTGGTGCCTCACCCACCCTTTCTGTACCAGGGTGTATCAACAGCTGTAGCTTCTGGTGGCTTCCCTGGAGTAAAATTCCATCTTAATTCATCTCTCTTGCAAGAACAGGAGGGACAGCAGAGAACAGCTGGTAGTCTAGCATGTACATGGCTGTGAAGGCTTCTTACTGTAGGATGTTGCCAAGTTTGCATGGCTTGGGACAATGTAGGGAATAGCATGGAAGAGATCACCTAGTAAGGATACAGCATAGGAAAACCCCATAGACATGGGAAACACTGAGCTGAGGATTGGCCAGTAGTGAAACCTTACAGGAACATTCTTGAGTGAGAGGAGAGGAGCAGACATCTCACTTGGCCATGGCTGTAGGTAGAGAACTGCATTAGGAGCACATCAGGTGGGCCCAGTGTACATTGTTCTGAGGAGTGTATGTGGTTCTGAGCTCCTCACCACAATTCCCTTGGCTCAAGCTACCTGTCTCTGGGACTGGCAAGTGTGGTAACTGTCAGCTTCTGCTGCTGCTAACAGTAAGTATGTAGTCGGTTGGGAAGTAGCTTCAAATGCTGTTTTAAAAATAGTAAAAAAAATAAATGTGTTCACACTGTTCACACTGTTCCAGCACTTGATCAGGTTTTGTCTTTTGCTGTAGACAAAAAACCTGGAACCTAGTGCTTAGAAAAAACCCTTCTTTTGCAACCCACAGCTGATGAATGTATTAGTTGTGTTACTTATATGAAGGGACAATATTTGCATGGCCTCAAATAGCATTCATTCATTTAAATACTGATCAATCTAGAGTTTGGTGTTGTGAATTTTCAGAAGTGTAGTTTGGTTGTATCTTTCTTTGCAGATGAACACACTCACACTGCAGCAGCAGTTGTAACTACTTAGGGATCTCTTGAGTTCTTAAGGCTGTTTGCTGACCTGATTCACAAATCCTTTACTTCAGTGGACATCTGTGCAGCATGGTAGCAAAAGAGGTGAGCTTTGTGTTTCTTCTGAGCTTCAGCATAAGACCATTGGGTTTCTACAGTTTAGTGCTATTCCCACAGCAAGTAATCAGACTAATTTGTGCACTGTATGGTATCTGCACCCAGCAGTGTCTTCCTGATGAGGTGTTCAAAAAGCAGTGCTACAGTATTTCAACAGCTGGCATCGTTGGTTTTCATGCAGATGTGCTGGTTAAACTTGGTATTTCTGTTGAAACAAGTAGATTTAGTGTTTATTAGTGGGAAGATTTTCAAATACAACATCAAAAAACTTAAACTGTTACAGGATAAAAGTATAGTTAAACTAATGACATTGTTCCAAAATATTTTTTCTTAAAAGGGCATTCCTGTGATGTGTGGAACAGATTGGAAAGCCTCTACTCAGGTGTAAGTATTGAGGAAACAGTTGGGTTTTTTCCTAGGTGGAGGTAGTTGTATGAAGATTAAAAGCTCAAGTCTTAACTTCTTGGCTGCCTTTTGATAAGAAAAAGTATTTTGAAACAAAAATCCAAGCTCCAGATGACCACTAGAGACAGGTTTCTTTCCGAGTTACCTGGCTAGGTTTATAACCCAGACTATTGTAAATACGTTGTGGAGTTTTTATGCCTCGTTCTTCAGCAGCTAGACACAACCTGCAGTGTGTCTGAATTGGAAAACGTGGCTAGAGGAGTAACAGGTTCTGCTTTCCTCGCTGTACACTTAATTGCAGTGGTGACAATGAGACCTGTAACAAATTCACTTAGTGGGACAGTTCTGCAAACATACTTAAAAATGCAGCTACTATGAAATCTAAGCATAAATGTGAGTTAATGTGCCTCAATTCTGTATCCTGTGTACTAAAAGAAGTAGAATTAGCAGTAGAGAAAAAATACTTGCAGTGCTGAATTCCTGTAGATGGTTTATTAAAAGCATATTTTTAAGGTGTCTTACAATGGTCTCTTCCATGGTTTCTTTGTGAGGTAACTCCCTTAGTTTTACCTTCTGTGCTCCAGTCTCTTCAGCTGCAGATGGGCCTTGTTGGTAGTTGTGTGATAAACTGGGCTGTGGTTTGATGACAGATGAAGTGCTTTGTTGTGTCATCAGCATTCAGCCAGTGTAACTGGACTACTCTCTGCCTGGCCTCACATGGAGATAAAAGCACTCAAGTCTTGATGAACTGCTAAAATACTGAGGAAACTTAAAAGTATTACTAAGATACAACAATTTATTTTGTTTTAGGAAGTTCACCTGATGTCAGGTCTGAACTAGCATCTTGGTAAGTTTGTGTCCCTGTTTTTTTTTACCCTTACCTGTTTCAGGTCAGCTACCTGTCTTTAACTTGGTGAGCTGGTTATACTGCTGCTCCTCTTTTACTGAGAAAATGCAGTGTTGTTTCAGAAAACATGAGAGCTTATTTTCCCCAAACTTAAGAATGCTGTGAGAAAATTGTTGTGATGATTGGCAAAATGTTCAACTGCTCTGAAGAGAGTGAATGAGAAGAGCCTTTCTGAACAAATTTACTTAATACTATTGTAGGTTCTGCTGATTTGTATGCTGGTTTGTAACTTTACTTGTTCTTTCCTGGTTGCAGGTACTTAGAGAAAGTGAAGAAGAAAGAAATACAGGCTGCCATTTCACAAAGTCTGAAGCTGTTTCAAGGGTTAGTGTGACATCTGAAATTCTGCCTATACCTTAAAGACTGAGGGGCTCTGGTCCTCAGTAGGCCAGGAGTCTCTCAGACCAAGCTTACTGATTTGTGAAGGTTTCAGGGACTGTTTTCAACATTACACTACTATATCTTAATGGATTGTTCATTCTGTTAAAGGAAGAATTTATTGTAACCTGAGTTTGCCCAAGGAATGTTCATATAAATTCCTCAGTCACAAACGAGATGAACAGGTTAACTGCTTTAACTGATAGTTTTGCATTGACCAGTAAGTTACACTCAGTAGGAAACTTACAGGGAGGATTCTGCAGAGTTCTGTAGATAATTCCAATTGATGTTTGCTTCTCAGGTAACTTAACTTGTAATTAAAAACTTGTTAATATGAAGGAGGTGCTGGCGTATCTCACCCTCTTCCTACTCCAGAATGTCTTGAAACAACATAAATGACACTGTGATCTGTACCAGGTACTTTCCCAGTCTGCTTGATTTTGATTTCTTGTCTCTTGTGTTAATTTGTAGCACCAGAAGTGTTGAGGTCTATCCCGATGGGATCTTTCCTGTAGGTTCATGTCGTTGGAAACGCCTCACAGATTAAACTTGTGGTTTGGCTTTACCCACTTAACTACCTGTTAGCTCTGTGGGATAAAACTGCAAGACAAATCTTAGCATACAATCTGAGGAATGCAGGATGCCCAGTGTTCTCCTTTGGGTGTACTGCAACATGCTTGGAATACAAACCAAAAAGTGATTCAAATGGAAAAGCTTAGTTGGAGTAAAAAGTCAGTCTGTTCTGGGACTTCAGGTGCAACTGACATTCTGAATTACATTGGCTGAACTTTGTCTCTTGCCCGGGTTTTTGTGTAGGCACCTGACTTGCAACAATTTTTTTGCTGCTTGTTTTCTGGATGGCTTGAAACAGTCTATTCTCCCCTTTAATCATGCAGGAGTGATTATTATTTCTTGTTTCAGTGGCTGTAGGTAAGAAGAGACAGCACTGCTATGTCTGTTACAAAGTAACTTCATTAAACTTGCTGCATTTTTTTGTATAAGGATGCTCCACAGTTTCATACTGAGCAGCAATATTTGGTTAATTTCTTCAAGTATGGGGTTTAAAGAGTTAATTTCTGAGCAGCCCAGCCAGTTTACTGCTATACTGTTAAAATCCCTGGATTCTGTTCTATAGAACAAAGAGTTCAAAGTAAAAGAAGCAAAGTTCTCTGGAAAAAGAATAAATCTTCACACAGGAGAATTCTGAAGCTGCTGTTGATGTTAGTCTGTTCTCCAGCTCAGCTGCACGGCAGTTCTGTGGAGAGTACCTCTTACTGCCTGACACCCTCTGGTGCATGCAAGAAGCTCAAATGTGAAATGAGCTGTGGTGGTTGAAAGTCTGTGCACCCAGCAGCCTTCTGGTGGGATGTTCAAAAAGCAGTGCTACACCAGGGCAGCATTTGGCATCCTTTGTTTTCAGTCTGCTGTGCCTGTTAAACCAGGTATTTTTGCTGAAACAATCTTTAACCTCTAAACGGATTTCAGTGTACTTATTTTCATGTTAGAAATAAATGTTTTCATTTGTCTTCATTTTGATTATCTGTGTGAAAACTGGCTAGTGGGCTCTGGAACTCAGCAAGTGCATTCAATTCTTTCTAACAGGTGCTTGAGGATACAGAATGAAGTGAATTGAATTTCCCTGAGTTAAAAAGATGGAAGCAGTTTGTTTGACAGGTAAGCACTCAGTTACTAGTTCCATATGATTTTACAGTTGGTGTATTAGCTTTGTATGACTGTAAACATGGGAACTACTAAACTGTTGTAGAACTAAGTGTAGAAATGGTTGTACCAGAGATTACTGGGTAGTGATCACTGCAGATCTTGGATGTATCTGAGGAGATCACTTACCTGTGAGTCATTCTTGTGTGTATTTATACTTAAAACTGCAGTCACAGTTGTGCAGCCATTTGTAGTACAGGTGTCTGAATTAACTGCTGTAGGCTGTGAGGAATTCCTCAGTACTTGGAGTTTGTGCCATACTTGAGGCTTGTTCACAACTTGGGTTGTGTATTGGCAGGATTGATTGTCCTTCACTGGAAAAAATGGGCACCTGGGCTATTCACTGAAGTCCTGTAAGAGCAGTGAGAGGAGTATCTGGTCATTACCAAGGCTGCTGGGATGTTACTGTTTCTGGTGAGCTGTGGACATGACCATAAAGCAAATCCACCAGACTCCTCTGCTGCCACATGAGGTGGCACCAAGTCTGCTGGGCATAAAGCTTTAACATGGGTCAAGGACACAATACTCCCTGCTGCTGTTAAGAGCAAGTTCTGCCTGAGGTATAGGGATGTATCCTTGGGCACCTTCAACACTTTAACTACAGGGGAGCAAAAGTTCCAGTTAAGTGATTTGCTGATTTAATTCCAGAGCTGAGTTTGGTTTTTTGAAACAGAAGCAAAAATAGGCATAGGCTGTTCCATGCAATTTACACCCAAGGTGCACTTTCCCCTGTACTAACCAAACCCAACTCTTTTATCTCCTAGGGTCTGCCATCAAGTTGCTGTCTGTCAGAGGGATGAGAAACACCATGTGGGAGCTAGCAAAGAGAGTGTGAAGGTAAGGGCACTTACCAAAAAGGCTGAGACTGTAAAAAAATTGAAGGTCACTTCAAAGAGGGTTTGCGTGGCTGAAAAACCAGCAGCTCTTAACGCGGTGACCGCATATTGAAATCCTCTGCAGGATGCCGTGGACACTCTGTGTGTGCTATGGTCTATTTGTGAGGAGATAACACCTCGTGTAGTTGGGCCTCCTGGGCTGGAAAAGGGCCTTACCCTGCTGCCTTCAGGGTTTTTTTGATGCTGATGTGGAGGAGAGGCTGCTCAGTTCCATTCTGAAGCAAGAACTTGCAGCATGGGGCATTAGGGAACAGGGTTGCTACAGTTGTGGTTTGAGCAGTCTTGCAGCCCAATTGCTGTTTGTGTGTCCAGAGAAGGGCAGTGGAGCTGGGGAAGGGTCTGGAGCACCAAGTTTCATGAGGAGCAGCTGAGGGAGCTGGAGAAAAGGTGGAACAGGGGGAGCCTTCTGCTTTGTACAACCACCTGAAAGGAGCGTGTAGTGAGGTGGGGGTTGGCCTGCCAATTAACAAAAATTAGAGGAGATGACTTCAACTTGTGCCAGGAGAGGTTTAGATTGGATATTAAAAAAGTTGTTTTTATTTGGATAGAAAATGCTAATAGATACTTTTCCTCTCTTAGATCCTGCTGATGTTGGTGCAAGCCTGCTCCAAAGAACTGCACAGGTGTTCCAGACAAAGAAAGAACCGTCCCTAGAGTGTTTATTGCAGTTTTTTGAATTAAACATTCATTTTAACTTGTTACTTCATGCTGTAATAATGATCCCAGTATTACAGCCTCCACCTGACTCCATGGAGTTTAACAAACTGGATCTGGCTTATGGTTTCCTGCTGCAGTACATGTCAACTGCTCCAGATTAAATAAGTGAAAAGAAGTGTAGAGTTGATTCATCAAAAATCAGCTTTCTAAGAGTTTCCTTGGAGCAGATCTAGAGGAGCCTGCAAAAATGAGCACAGGGATGGAGCACCTCCTGTGAATAGGCTCAGAGCTGCTGTTCTTCCTGGAGCAGAGAATGCTCCAGGCCAATCTTGTTGGAGCTTTAAGCAGGACCTCTAAAGGTCTCTTCCCCATTCCTACCTACTCCACGACTTGCTGTGGTGCATTTTAACCAGAAAGAGCATTAATGAAAAGCCCTTGTTAAATAAATTTACAGCAAAAGTTGAGCTTTGAATCTGACCTAATTGATATGTGCAGGAAACCATAGTTCTAGTCTTAAATCACACAGTGCAAAGAATAGACTAAAAACTCCAGCTTTACAGGACAAAGGTCCTTTTCCCCAGAGATTCAAATAACCTTAAAACTTTATTTGAAAACATTTTATACATGTATATTACAAAACTTACTTACAAAAGCTATTTGAAATATTAACATGTAAGAAAAGCCTTTCAGGCCAGTAACTCAGTCTGAGGCAAACAATGAAGAAAGCATTGTTTCTTCAGTCCATCTGCAGCTGTGGTGAGCTCTGAACAGGGGACCACAGGGGTTTGGGGTACTCAGTGTTCCTACAGCTTAAAGGTGAGGATTCCTAAATGGCTTCACAATTCACCACTGAGGCTGCAGCACCCAGGGGCCTGGATTGTACCAACACCACCATGTGCCCTTGTTGCTCAAAGCCTTTCCCTGTCATGGGGCTTTCCAAGTCTTCTTGGCCCGCAGTTTCTCCAGCATTTTCTGCAAATACAACAAACCATGAGACCACAGTACTGAAGCTGAAGTGGCTGCCCTAAAGCCAGCATGCCTGGGAACTGCCTGTAACCAGAACAGGAATGGGCAGTGCTGTACTGGACAGCAGTGCCTCTGTTCCAGAGAAGCCACAGATTACACGGCAGGGGGAAGGTGGTCATATTCCTCTTTTCTGTTAAGAAGGGAGCTCTAAAGCACTGCAACAATAGCAGCCACTCTCATTCCACCACAAAGCAGAGGAGCTGGTCAGGGCTAAAGGCAGGAATTGGACCTAAATTCCCCCATAGTAGTCACAGCCTGTGAGGATTATCCAGCATTTCCTTTTGTTTGTCTGGGGTGCAGGAGAGGAAATGGGGAATCGACAAGCCCAAGGCCCTTTGTTCAACCCTGTTCCACAACAACTGCCATCAAAACCCCAAGATTCTTGCACCTTTTAAGTTAGGGCATGCCCAGAATCTCACCCTCCCTAGGGTAGTCAAAGCAGCCCAAAAACCACCAAACCCAGAATGCTACCTTAAAAATAGAAATTTGGTCAAGTTATTATTTTGCTCCAGACTGTAGAGCAGCTGGAGCCTTTTTGCTCAAGCTCAGGTCATGAAATTCAGTCTGAGGCAGACATGCCTTTTAGAGAAAACTTGAGCTCATTTGTTTTTCACAAGGAAATTCTTGTATGGGCTGTACCAATGGCATAATTTAACATCCAGACTCGTTTGAGGGTCTCCATTTCAGCTCCATTCACACCACATCTCAATTACTCTGGAAGCTCAGTGAAATCAAGAGACCAAAGGGCAAGAGGACACTGTGGGAAGCTATCATTACCTTTTGAAACTCTTTAGCCTTTTCTCTGTTTTTAGCATAAGTTTCTTGCCTTGTTTTTTCTTCATTTCTGATTTTTACTTCTGCAAGCTGATTATAAAGTCTGTGAAAACAAACAAAAAAAATCAGTGTCTGGGCAGGAAGGAATTGGCAAAGATGGAGTAGGTTAACAAGCTTAAGGTTTTGCCCTGGCTCACTTGCTAGCAAGTGGGACAATTTCATTGCATGCCCCAGTAATCGAGAATCACTTCAAATTCTTTTTCAGCTGCATTAAACAAACCCTCTCCCTGTTCAGAGCAGCACTTGTTGCCTGTTACTGCTCCTAAGTGCCCAAGTGAACTTGGCATCAAATTTCACCCCATGTCAGGCATTAAGTGGCACCGCTGCCTCAGCAGGTGACATCAGCAGTGGCCTTCCTCAGTGCCACCTCTGCACTGGGTACCTGCATCAAACACACCTGGCTCCTCTCCCACCTCTTCAATGTTAAGCAGCACTGGGTCCAACTGTAAGAGCACAGACTGAGCAGCAGCTTTCACAAAACACAGATTAACTACTTTTTTCCTATGGTTTTTTTTTTTTGAGTTCTCTCACTTGTGTTCATGCAATACCTGGATGTACGCTGGTGCATTTCAATTTCTCCAGACTTCCTATTCTCTGGAGAAGATACTTTCACTTCTCCTACTTTTTTCAACTGATTGGCAAGTGCACCATTTTTTCCTAAGGGGAAAAAAAAAAGCCAAACATATGTTTGTATGTATATCCTAAATTTAAATCTCTAGTTCACCTAACTCAAAAGCATGAGGTATTTCCAAAGATTTCTAAATGACATGACAAAACCCAAAACAAGCTAGCAGAATGAAGCAATAGAGATGCCATCCTGAGTTAAAATAAATCCCCCCAGTTTCACTCTTGAGGCTGCTGCCTGTGCTTAGGGCCATCCATGGCTCTCCAGAGCTGACCTCCAAGTCTCCAGGAGCAGGCACTAGAGCATGCACCAGTCTGCTAAACAGGGCTGCTCTGTGATAAGCAGCTGTGGTTTGCAGAGGCACCTGATGATGATAAAGGTGGGCTGATTGTGAAATATGAAGAGCCCCCCTAAGGGCCTTTACAGCACAGGCAGCCAGACAGTGAGGGAAAACAAAGCTCCCTGATTCCCTGAGAAAACAAATTAAAGAATATCCCAGTTTGCAATAGCAAACATTGTAGCAAACAAAAAAAAAATTATATAAAATTTATTCTTTGATATGAAACAGCAATTGGAGGGATATCTAATGCTGTGTCTTGTCCCCTACATAAACCTACCAGAGAGAAGACCAGACTCCTTCTGTCTGCTTCTTAGATTCTCAGACTTTCCTGCTAGAAGCTTTCTTGCTTCCAGCTTTTCATTTTCTCTCTCCTTATTTTTTATTGCTTCTACTCTTTTCAGAGATTCCTGGATGAAATTCTGCTTTCTTTTTAAAAAAGATTTTTGTAAACTTCCGGATGTAGCTTCAAATTCCAGCAGCATCACTGTGAAAGAAAATGAAAAGTCTCCACATTTCTCACTTCTAACAATGAGCAATAAGTCATGCATTTCAAGGTATTTCTAAAATGCTGAGTTTGTGCACTTTTGTAAATGGCATGAGGAGAATGGCACTGAATGATGAGGCATCTTGCAGAGCCAGCAGCAAACTCAGACCTATGGAATCCAGTAATGGTCTGCAGGTCTGCCCAGACTAATACTCTGAGAAATATTGCATCAAAAGCAGCTGGATGCATCAGAACATGAAGACCTGACAAGTCCTCAACACAATTAAGTTCTGTGAATTCCTGACCTTCACATTACTGCAGCTCATCTTGGACAAAAAAAAGTCAGTATTTTACTACTGTTCCAGACTACCATCAGAATAGGAAAAAGGACAATTCTTTGGCTAAATGACTTGGGGGACTAACAAAAAATTAGAAATAAACAAAAGCACATAAATTATGACAACAAATCAGAAAATGGCACATATTTTTTCAAAATTAAGTCACTACAAAACCAAACAAGTTTAGTGGTAGAGATTCTGAAGTTTCATGAGAGAGAACCTGGCCTAGGAAGACACAAGTCAATGTGACACACACTAAACCTTGGTCAAAGGTACTACAGACCAAGCCTGAACAGCAGGATGCACTTACCTAAGTAAAAGCAGCTCTGAGTTTTCCAAATGAGAGGTGTATTTTGTTGATGATTTTAATACTACAAAATACTTTCTACTTCAGTGTATTGAAGAACCACATAATTACCTGCAGTCTGATGTGATGGACAGTGACTCTTGTTGGGACTCTGAGCTTTGGGAGAACTCTCAGGCCTTGTGAATGCTGAATCATCTGCATCTGGAGTTAGTGGCAAAAATTCTCTCTCCTGTTTCAAATGGATCAGTGATTAGATTGGAAATGCTTAACATGTATGACAAATTTGAGTGAAGCAGTACTACTGTACCACTAGCATAGACCCAACTACAAATAAAATACATGCTTTTGCCTTTATGCCTGATGCAAAGAAAAACCAGAAATGGATTTTGGTATGAAAAAGCTGTTTTCTAAAAACTCTTAATACAGGTCTGCAAATCCAATTTCTTTTCCTTTCCTCCTGCTCTCTTCAGTTCTCCCCATCCCCCTCTTCCTGTTCTGTCTTTTCCCCCCATTTTCCAGAGGCAGGTGACACCCACTGCAGCAGTACAGCCTCCAGCTGCCAACCTCCACCTCACCCATGTATCAGCTACCTGATAAAATCCCATCCTTAGACACTTACAATTCTCTAGATGGCTCTAGCAATTAGTGCATGATTTAATCTGTTCATCTAACAGACTCAGTTCTACACTGTAGACACTGGTTCTGCATCAGTGCTTCAGCACCCAAGCTGTGGTCTCACTACAGCCCACCCCTCTGCAGTTTACAAAAGCCTTTGCTTTATATAAGCAAGCAGCAAGAAGAACACCACAGGTTAATTAAGTGTGGCAGTTTTGAAGAGCTGATTCATTTTGCCTCTAAGTGCTGTTGCAGTCTGGTATGGCTCCATCCTCACAAGGTGAGGGGATTCTCCTTTTTTTTCCTGTCTAGTCCGTAGTTTTCGCTTTATCCCACACTCTCCTTTCATTCAGTTTTCAACTAGTAAAATACAATTCAGTCTTGCAAACACCAGCAAGATGGTTTTGTTTATTGCAGCAAGTCTTCCCAAACTCTATCTAGGTCAATATGACAAGGTAGTGACTCTAAGCAATAT